ATGTATCTCAAACGAAAATTCGGAAATTGTCGTTGCTTAGTTGATAAACAAAATGTTTCACACGATAAATTTGTCAACAATCACCTTTAGTTCATGTTCTTGTACAATACAATTTCTTGAATCTTCTGGCTGTATTTATTCCTAGTTTTTAGAATGACATGTTTATTTTTGCGCTTGAAATCTGGCTGTAAAGACGCACAATGAAGTCACTCCTTTTTACCGCCATTTTGAGCCTTCGGAAACGTTCGGAACAGCTTATCATCAAGTTCGCAATAAGTCGCAATACTATTACAGGTAAGGTTGACGCATGCGCAGACGTTTTTCCGCGGTGTTCCTCCTAGTAGGGCTGGAAATTTAGCAAATACGCATGCGCAAATAATTAGAATAATTCAGAATGCACAAACAACTCCCATATAAGGAACCAACGTCCATATATGGAGTTGTTTACGCCAAAAAAAATTAGAACAAGAAGAGCCAGCCCTTCATGTAAGTTTCATGTAAACGCGTGGTGAAATTCATCTCGGGGATGCGAGCCAGCTCGGGTACCCGGGCTGGCTCGCTTCCATATAAACAGCCCCTAACTTTCCCGTCTGTTTAGACGGGTAAGTTAGACGGGAAAGTTCGGACGGGAAACTCGTCTGCGCCCAGATTCATATTAGACGAGTTTCCCGTCTGAGACGAGTTTCCCGTCTAAGACGAGTTTCCCGTCTCTAATATGAATTCGGCTAAATTGTATTTATGTCTCGATATTGAGTGATTTTAAAATATGACGACTCATCGCTCCATAACATTTTCCAACAAATTCTGTTTCGAAAGGATATTTACATATGCGAAGTGTGAGCAACGTAACGTAACAACATGCAAGGTCGGACAGATCAAGAGGAAGAGAAGGACATGTACTATTGTGTTTAATGATGGGATCGGCTATGTCAGGAATTGGAAATTTACTTAAAAAGGAAATAAAGTAAGTTAGTAACGAGATAAGCTGTATATTGTTGTATTTAAGTTAGAATCTGCACGAGATCTAGATAGAGTGATTTTACAATATGACGACTCATCGCAAATACACGCATGTGTGTTGATACAAACGGCCATAACTTTTGAAATACTGAAATCGTACAGGGGTTTTTGCATATATTTGCCAACAAAGGACTATACTTCCTTGAAAAATAGGCCCGAGCGATTTACAAGGTCCCAAAGTTTGAAAAATAGAATCTAAATCAAGGCCATTTCCACTCTTTGATTTATAGTCATAAGTAGGGTTTACACTGTGCTTAATTTTTCCTTTACAACTAATATTAGGTAAAAATTCCTCCTCTTCAAGAAAACTAGAAAGTTTCATGAGTGAAATGATATAAAATTCATTGCTAGTTGACGCGAATATAATATTTTACGGATCAATGAAAAATGCGTAATTTTCAATTTTCGAGACGTCCCAACAGGCCTTGAAGGGGGGAAATATTTCGTTATTTGCAGCGCAACTGGAAAATCATTTTCAACCAAACCGAGACTGTTTTTATATTATGTTTGGTAAAGCCTTCCAGTTGCCAGAGTTTTAGCGAAGATCATGTTTGAAATGAAATTCGAGCGGGCGGTTTTTACAGAGACAGCCTCTTAAGGTCGCTATTCAATACAACACGGCCACTCGTGTTGTCCATTACGTAATGGACAAAGTATCTGAAACACTAGAAAGAAGGGTTGAACTTTATTCTTTAATTTCGAGCAACATCGGCACAAACTCTTACATGACCTGGACAAATATCTTAGTAGTTTAATACAGCTTTTACTATAAGTGAGTAAGTAAATGGTGGCGAGCTAATCATATATAAGCCTTGCGGCATGTGTCATTGCGAATGGGATCAGGGTTACCGCAAGCAACGTAAGCTGCGGGAACAGCCTTTTTAAAAATGGCACTTGCTTCCGAACCCTAACTCGAATTCGCTGTACGGATAATCGATTACTTTTACACACATTGTTCGGAACCATTGTTGTTCGTTGCCATGACGTTAAGGTGTGAATTGCA